TTCCCTCTTTCTCACTTTCTCTCTCTCTCTCTCTCTGGTTGAATTAAAATATATATATAATAATAATAATAATAATAAATAATAATTCTTTAAAAAATAAGGTGAACCAATGGACAGACTGATGAATAGATATCCAATAATACATGAATAGTAAAATGCTGATATTAAGTCTAGAAGGTATGTTGGGGTTTGGGGGAGTATAGGACGTAGAACAGCATGTACAACAGGATTTTGTGAGATGGTAAAAATGTGTCATTTACGCTGTCAAATTGGTAAACTACATGTGATCTCTGAGCCCTTAAAAAGTGGCTGATAGGACTGAAGAACTTCATATTTTGAGTTTTATTAACCTTTACTTCATTTAAGTTGATAGAGCCACACATGGCTGGTGGCTGCCAGAGTAAACAGTGCATTATTAGATACACACAGTCTTGGATGCAAGTCTTGGATTCACCATTGGCTGGTATTTAAGTTTTCTGAGTCTCAATTTCTTTTTTTTTAATTGTCAGAAACACAGAAAGAGAGAGAAGGAGAAACCACACTGCCCCAGTCAGGTGTGGTCACTCTACAATCCCTTCTCCTCCATTTATCCATTCTGTTGGGACTTTGAACACAAACACACACACACACACACACACACACACACACAGAGCATGTTTTTCCAGCTAGCAGGGTTAGGACTGGAACTGGCCACATGGGACCTGGCTCCCTTAACCACTAGGCAATGAAGCTGCCCTCCAAAACAGGGTCTTGCTCCACATGCACCACACACCCAGCTCTTCCAGATAGGGTCTCGTTATGTTGTCCATGCTGGCTGAGAACTCATGACCCTGCCTCAGCCTTCCATGTAGCTGGACCACAGACATGTGTCATTGTGCCCAGCTTTTAGGGCCAGAATCAAACCTGGGCTTCCTTTGTGACATCAGTCTGCCAAGTGGCAGTACCAACCAGGGCACACTACTGTGCTGGGTTTCAGTTTATTCTTACGTAAAATAAAAACAGGAACTTATTACTTCATACAGATTAAACAAGATAAGGCAATAAAGCATAAAGCACAGTTCTGCACATCTAGCAAACATTTAAAATTAACATCTATTCTTCTTTTTTGGAGAGATTTTTGCTATAGGGTGCGTGCGTTCGCCAGACAGAGACAGAAAGATAGAAAGTGAGAAATCACCCCCCAGGGGGGATGGCCATGCCACAATCTCTTCTCCTCCATTCTCCTCTCGGGATCTTGGGCACGCACGCACATGCGCCCAGCATGAGTTTAAGTCACCGGGTCTAGGACTTGAACCACAGTTGACTACGTGGGAGTCCAGCGACATAGCCATTACACTAACTGCTGGTCCCTATTATTCTCTTTTTTTTTTTAAAGTACTTATTTATTTCTTACTATTGTTCAATATGACCAGGGCGATGGGGAAGCAAGTCGCCATGTCCAGGACTCAAACCACAGTTGACTATGTGGGAGTCCAGTCATTTAACCACCATGCCACCTACCAGCCCCTATTATTAATTAATAAGATCCACGTAATCAAGAACCCCATCTATTTTGCTCACTGTTATATCCCCAGTGCGTAGTGCAGTGCCCTATATACATAAAAGACACTCAATAAACATCTACTGCATGTTTTTATAGGAACAAGACCTCAGATTTATTCTATTAAATTTCATATTAAGTCCTCTGCTCCAATCTGTCAGATCATTTTGAATCCTACTGTCATCTAATACATTTGATATCTCTGTTAGTATTTTCCAAAATTTTGTGAAACATGGCTATCAATATAATATAAATCTGAGACATTAATAAAAATCTTAACCAGAGACCTGTAACATCCATTAACCTTTAGTTTATTATTGTGCTATCAGGAAAGTCATGATGCATTTTTGTATAGAAAAATATGTCATGACTTTCCCGACCACCTCATTAACTGAAACTAGGTTAGTATAGACAATCAATTTAGCTTGACTTTCACCCTGCCTATATGTCTCCCCTTGTCCACAAAGGTAGTTAAGTATGAGAACCTTACATAAATTAAACGATGCCAATATGAACTTCATTGAAACTACACTTAGAACTTAAAAAACGAACTCACCCTTCAATAGCTGGAGACCTGTCAGGACGAGTACTTCCTCGAGACCTGTATCTCCGAGTCATTGGCAGCCGTGGAGGCCGACTTGGTCCCCAGAAGTCAGTATGAGTCTGGTGACCCCTCTCATTGGCTCTATTATCTTGGTCCAGTGGATTGCTAATTAGAAATGGTCTAAAATCTTGGAATATCATCGTGTGATCCAAATGGTCCCAGAGCTAGTAAAAATCAGAAATAAATGATATGTTACATAAAAGGAAGAAATACTGAAGAGAGAGAGGTGCAACTATTAACACTTTGAAATTCAGCAGCTCTAAAAGAATAAAGTATGTGGACCCAATTTCATAGAAGAGGAAAAAGAAGTCTTTAAAGTGATAGAGAAAAAAAAATATTGAGAAATTTAATTTTCTTCATATAGAAATATGCAAGCCAACGGCTAGACCCTTTCCTTAACATGTAGTTCATATCCACAAACTGACCAATTTCACCTTTTGAAATGTAAATATCAGCCAAAGGTGATGATGGATTCTGTTCTAAGCATAATTAATAATTCAGATCTGGGACCAGCCGTTGGTGTAATGGCTATGTTGCTGGACTCCCATGTAGTCGACCGCGGTTCGAGTCCTGGACCCAGTGGCTTAAACTAACGCCGGGAGCATGTGCATGCGTGCCCAAGATCCCAAGAGAAGAATATAGGAGAAGAGACTGCAGCATTGCCATCCTCCCTGGGGGGTGATTTCTCTCTTTCTGTCTCTCTGTCTCTCTCTGTTTTTCTGGAGAGCACATGTGCCCTATAGCAACAACTTCTCCAAAAAGAAAAAAATTCAGATCAACATTACAACCTTGCAAATGACAACCACATCCCCACTGTAGAATAATCTAAGGCTTAAGTAAAATGGAGGTATTTATATAACTTATGAAAGAGCATGATTACCATGAAAAAGAGATAGATGTCCATAAAATACTTCTCTTGATTTGGACTCCGCATCAGAAAGGGTCTGTGCCTAAGCTATGCCAGAACAGGGGAGGTATTTCTTTCTTTTTTTTGGAGGGGTTTTTGCTATAGGGCACGTGCACTCGCCAGACAGACAGAGACATAGAGACAGAAAGCGAGAAATCACCCCCCAGGGGGGCTGGGCACGAAATCACCCCCCAGGGGGGATGGTCACGCTGCAATCCCTTCTCCTCTATTTTCCTCTTGGGATCTTGGGCACGCACGCACATGCACCCGGCGTGAGTTTTAAACCACCAAGTTCGGGACGCGAACCGTGGTCAACTACGTGGGAGTCCAGTGACATAGCCATTACGCCAACTGCTGGTTCCCAGGGGGGAAGTATTTCTGATAAACATATTTTCCTGTACATACTTTTGTCACTAAAATGAGGGGAGTTGTTGGGTTTGACAGAGAAATCAAAAGGTGAGTGAAAAAAATCATCTCTAAGATCATTAAAATTTTGATCCAGCTTCTGTGGTGCAGTCAGCAAAATACAAGCTGCAGTGCTGGAATCCATAAGATGACCATGGCTCAAATCTTTAGCCCAGTAGGCCTGAAAACACACAGGACCATATAGAAGATTCATATGAGCTGAGGAGAAAGAGGATTGTGGTGTGACCAGACTCTGTGGAGGGTGCTTTTTCCCTCTTTCTTTCTCCTGCACTCTATCAGAAATAAAATCTAGGGACCAGCAGTTGGCGTAATGGCTATATCGCTGGACTCCCATGTGGCCAACCGTGGTTCAAGTCCCAGACCTGGTGGCTTAAACTCACACCAGGTGCGTGTGCGTGCATGCACAAGCTCCCAAGGAAAGAACGGAGGAGAAGGGATTGCGGCGTGGCCATCCCCCTTTGGGGATATTTCTCACTTTCTGTCTCTCTGTCTCTCTTTATCTTTCTGGTAAGTGCACATGCCCTATAGCAAAAACCTCTCAGAAAAAAAAAAAAAAAGAAAAGAAAATCTAAAAAATACAGTAATTTAAACTTTATTTATCTGTGCACTAAGCATCTCCAGGGTTCTACAGAATGCTACTTACTGAACTCCAACTGCCAAGTACATAACTCTAATCAAATTAATCTGTTTTTGTTTTAAACTTTTTAATCAAATAGAAAACCTTATTATCTAGTATGTACAAAATAACAGGGACACAAAACTGCTTTACTGTATGACCTCAGGTCTTAAGGTCCTTATGACCCCCTCCATTTTAGAATCTTTTCCAGAGACCCACATTAACAATAACCTCTTTAAGAATCACTCAGAGAAAAAGCAACCCAGTGGTGTGTTTAGCTGGTTGGATTACAGACTTCACTCTACTTGCAGTCTCCTACCTAGTAACCTGTCACCATCAACTCTTATACTCACAGCTTGATTGTCAAGAATGTTATTTTTGGCTATTTTTTTTTTTTTTGGAGAGGTTTTTGCTATAGGGCGCGTGCGCTCACCAGACAGAGAGAGACATAGAGACAGAAAACGAGAAATCACCCCCCAGGGGGGATGGTCATGCCGCAATCCCCTCTCCTCCATTCTTCTCTCGGGATCTTGGGCACGCACGCACACGCGCCCGGCGTGAGTTTTAAGCCACCGGGTCAGGGACGTGAACCACGGTCGACTACGTGGGAGTCCAGCGACATAGCCATTACTCTAACTGCTGGTTCCCTATTTTTGGCTAATTTTTTTTAAAAAAAGAACTATTTATTTTCATTTATATGTTATAACTTTTAAATTTTGCTATAGGAAAGGGCCAGCATGTGGCGTAGTGATTATATCGCTGGATTCTTACATGGCCTATCACAGTTTAAGTCTCAGGCCAGTGGCTTGATACTCATACTAGTCATGTGTACATGTGTGCCTAAGATCCTGCTGGCCCCTTGGCTACTATCTTCTAGTTCAATTTCCTTCTTTATTTTTAAAGGCATTCCCTCCCTTTTTAATTAAAAATATACAATAAGCATACTGTTATAAAAATATAAACACAGAATATAAAAGATCGATCCCAATATAGTCTCTATTCACTCAGCTGTTAAAAACCCCTACCCCTAACCAGCAATTAGCGTAATGGCTATGTCGTTGGACTCCCATGTAGTCAACCGCAGTTCGCGTCTCGGACCTGGTGGCTTAAAACTCACGCTGGACGCGTGTATGTGCATGCCCAAGATCCCGAGAGGAGAATGGAAGAGGTGGGATTGCAGTGTGGCTATCCCCCTGGGGGGTGATTTCCCACTTTCTGTCTCTCTCTGTCTGTCTGGCAAGCACATATGCCCTATAGCAAAAACTTCTCCAAAAAAAAAAAGAAAAGAAAAGAAAAGAAAAACAAACTTACCCCTAATACTGCTCCCCTATCCAGAGGTTAATTTGGTGTACAGAATTTCAGATCTCTAAATATCTGTATATACATTTGTGTGTACAATATATACACATACATATAAATATTTCTCTATGTATATATACATATCTGTGTATATGTATACACACTATATATACATATATATACACACACATATACACTCTTTTTTTTTTTGTGTGTGTGATATATATATATATATATAGGATCCCACTATATATATGTGTATACATGCATGTGTACACAAACATTCATTCATTGAACAAATACTTACTATGCATGTATTCATCCCCAACTGCTTTCTGGAAGTTGCTAGGACAGCACTGAACAAAACAGGTTTTAAAAAAAGAAAGCAGAGGGCCTGCCCCATAGCCTGATGGTTAAAGGAGCCGATCCCACATGGCCAACAGTGGTTCAAATCATGAACAAAGTGTCTAGAAAAACACACCAGGTGTATATGCATGCAAGCCCCTCAAATCCTGACAGGACAAATGGAGGAGAGGCTTTCGACCACGGGAGACCCTCTGTCCAGACTTCGCCCTCCTGCACCCGAGTCTAGCCAGGAGCCAGGATAAGCCAATCAGCTGCCATCTATATTTGAGCTACAAGTGGCACCATTTAGGGATTTCAACCACCAAGGACCTTCGGCCCAGACTTCACCATCCTGGTCCGCAGTCTAGCTAGGAGCCAGGTTAGAACAACACCCTACTAATTTTCTCTGTCTCTTTCCATCTCTCTCTCTCTATTTTTTCTTTTTTTGGAGAGGTTTTTGCTACAGGGCCATGTGCTTGCCAGAAAGACAGACAGACAGAGAGATAGAAACCAAGAAATCATCCTCCAGGGGGGATAGCCACGCTGTAATCCCTTCTCCTCCATTCTCTTCTTGGGATCTTGCGCACGCATGCACACGTGCCTGGTGGAAGTTTAAACCACTGGGTCCAGGACTCAAACCGTGGTCGACTACATGGGAGTCCAGTGACACAGCCATTACGCCAACTGCTGGTTCCTCTTTTAATTTCTTATTAAATTTATAAACTTAGCTCTCTGCTGCTCTTTTGTCTTTCGAATTCTTACCTTTCTCCCATCCCCACAGGATAAGCCAATCAGCCAGCACCTATATTTGAGCTACAAGCGGCCCCATTCAGAGATTTCAACCAATGAAGACACTCTGCCCAGCACGTTGCACAGTTTTTATTTTTTGACAAAAAATGCTTTTTCTTCTCCTTTTCTTATTTTGTCTTTTTTTTCCTTTTTTTTTTTTTTTTCTATTCCTTTTCCTTTTACCTTTCTCACTTTTCTGCTGAGCCCCTCCATTCACTCATTTTCTAGATAGGTCTATGTGCTCAGTAGCCAATTATCTGGATACTTTTAGGGTCAGATTAATCCTCAATTTTCATTGAATCTGTTGTGCAAAGGAAGAACAATGGTAATGTTTAAAGACTGCAGGTTACCTCCTTCTGCATTCCTCTGTCTGCTCAGATTTAACTCCAAAAAATAGGAAAGAGCACATAATCATCAGATGATCAGAAACCACCACAGAGGCACAAGAAATATGAGAAATGAAGAAAATATAATATCTCTCCTCTAATGGAAAAGAGTAACTCCTCTTCCTCCATAAAAAACACAAGGGAACTCATGGAAATGTCAGATAAAGTATTTAAAATAGTCACAGTGACAAAGCTAAAAGAGATGCAAGAGATTAGAGACAATGAACTGCAGAAGATGCAGGAAAAAAGAAACCGAATTCTAGGAGGTGAGGAAGTTCTTGCATGATCTGAAAGAGGAGATACACATCATAAAAAAGAATCAGATGGAATTGTTAGAGATGAAGGCTGTAATAAAGGAAATCAAAACTTCAATTGAAAATATCAAAAGGAGATTAG